AGAACCTGCAATCTTCCTGCTTCAGCCTCCTGAGTTTCTAGGATTGCAGATGTGATCTACCATGCCCAGGCCTTTTGGGTTTTTATTTTATTTTATTTTTAAAATATTTTTTAGTTGTTGATGGACTTGTAAAAAATCTATTTATTTGTATGTGGTGCTGAGAATTGAGCCCAGTGCCTTACACATGTGAGGCAAGAGCTCTACCACTGCGCCACAAACCCAGACCCTGGGTTTTTATTTTGAAACAGGACTCACTAAATTGCTGAGTCTGAACTTGAATTTGTGATTTTCCTGCTTCAACCTTCCAATTCACTGGTATTATATCATGCCCAGCTGAGGAATAGTTCTGATCACAAATTCACACTATCCAGGTTATCTCATTAATGGTCAGGATCACCATTGCTATCATCTTTGAGGATGAGTCTCAGCATCCCTGAGTCAACTGAACTATTCCACAGGATCCATATTTCTGTGGTGGAGTAACACAGACCCCTGACAGATTACAATACCTGTGGAGAAGTTTGCATAAACCACCAAAGACACAATGCCCATGGCTGGGGATATGGTTCTGTGGTTAAGCGACCCTGAGTTCAATCTCTGTTACCAAAAAAAAAAAAAAAAAAAAAAGAAAAAAGAAAGAAAGAAACAGTGGCAATGAACTGGCCAACTAGGTCTGGGTGGGATTATGACATTAATAGGCAATTTCACACTGTCAGTGCTGTGTGTTTATTTAGTTTATAGTTGGAGTCTGTAGGCTATAGGATAAGGGTGCTCACATTATCTATGGGGTATATAGTTACTTCTGCTAATAATATCTAATAATATGTTTTTTCCTCTGCTAATAATTATTACCAGTTTTTATTTTTACTTATTTATGTTTTTGTGCTAGAGATCAAACCACATGCCAAGCACAAGCTCTATCACTAAGCTACATGCCCAGCCCAATATTTATTGTGTACTTCACTTTCCTGATTTCTCATAATAAAACGATTGTGTAGGATCTATTAATAGCCCCATTTGGAGGCTGGGGTTGTGGCTCAGTGGCAGAGCACTTGCCTAGCATGTATGAGGCACTGAGTTCGATTCTCAACAACCAAATAAATAAATAAAGGTCCATCAATAACTAATAAACAATTTTTAAAAAATATTCCCCAGCTGGGAGCGGTGGTGCATGCCTGTAACTCAGCTGTTTGGGAGGCTGAGACAGGAGAATTACAAGTTCAAAGCCAGCCTCAGCAACTTCGAGGTGCTAAGCAACTCAGTGAGATCCTGTATCTAACTAAAATACAAAATAGGTCTGGGTATGTGGTTCAGTGGTCCAGTATCCCTGAGTTCAATCCCCAGTACAAAAAAAAAAGCACCCCATTTTACAGATGAATATTTCTTTTCTTTTTTTTAGTACTGGGAATTGAACCTGGGGCGCCTAACCACTGAACCACATCTCCAGTCCTTTTTATTTAGTTATTTTTTATTTTGAAACAGAGTCTCACTAAGTTGCTTAGGGCTTCAATAAATTGCCCAGGCTGACCTCAAACTTGGGATCTTCTTGCTTCAGCCTCCTGAATTGCTGGGATTACAGGCATGCACCACCCTGCTCCACTATGGATGAAGAATCTGAGGCTCAGAGAAGGTCGCTTGCCCTTTTTCACAGACACAGGAAAGCAGAGCTGGGGTTGTAACTCAGGTCTCTTCCTTACTGAAGGGAGTGCGGGGGAGTCACTGGGGCTGTTACTGGTCTTATATCTATGAAACTTTGTATTGGGGAGGTGGTGTAATGGTTAAGGGTATGGATCTGGGTTTGAACCCTAATCCCAGCACTTCCTCGCTAAAGAACTTTGTCAGACTAATTTCCTCTTTCAGAGCCTCATTTTCATAATCTGCAAATTGGGATAACAATTGTAACTCCCTCACTAGGATTTTGTGAGGATTAAACTAGAAGATGCCTCTGACAATGCTTGGCCCAGTGCCTGGCACACTGTGAGCACTCAGAATCAGGAGCTGTTATTCTAACAATGATGATTATTATTATTGCTGGACCACACTGCTCCCAGAGGGTTACAATATCCGTGGGGGAGCTGTAGTGTCCGTAGGCAAGGTTACATAATTTCCCAAGGGGATGAATGCTTCCCTGGAGACCTTGGTTTCCCCAAGGAGGAGGTCTGAGACTTGTCTGAGGGCCCGCTGAGGAGCTAGTCTAAGGCAGACTAGGAACCCAGCAAAGGAGGAGGCTGTGTTTGAAGTCCTAAACACTCAGAGTGTGGCCCCTGTTGGTTGGCTTTTTCTCCTTCTGGCTTGTCTTGATCCAACTTTTGGATTTCCTTCTTGTCTCTTTGTCCCCATACTCTCCTCCTTTGGTAACTCAAGAGTCATTTTTTAAAATGTTTATTTAGTTGTAGATGAACACACAGTATATTTATTTTTATGTGGTGCTGAGGATTGAACCCAGTGCCTCACACATATGAGGCAAGCACTTTACCACTGAGCTACAGCTTCAGCCCCCTTAAGAGGCATTTTTGAGACTGTGTCTAGGATCCGTCTGTGAATATTGCTTCTATTTGCCCTCTACCCTGCTTCTGGCTCCCTGCCTCAGTCCATCCGATCTGCACTCTGATTTCCTGTTTCCCGAGCCTCAGGCTCCATCCATCCCTCCCAGCTGCTGCGGACAACAAGCTTAACACTTCCCCTACGCTCCAGCCTTAGGTCTTAAGCCTTGTCTTCCTCTCTCCTGGCGACCCTCAGTTCTCCTTGGGAGCACATTTGTTCAGATTTGGATCGCCTCCTCACATCCTGGCCCCACCTACGGAACCCCCTGCCCTAATGGAGGAGGTGGAGGTACCTCCGGCGCCAGTCGTGTCTCCAGGACAGCTGCAGGTTCCAGAATTCATTCTCTCTGATCACTTCCTCCCCAGCTGGACTGGGGGCTAACAGGAAGGCCAAGACCCCATCCCCACAGGAGCGGAGGGCACACCGCCTCTCCATTTCCGATGCTGGGAAATGCTTCCCACCCATTCTACCCCACCCCTGGACAGCTGCCCCATTCAGGCTCAGGGTTGGGGGGCTGGGTAAGGCCAGGCTGGAAAATGCGGTGGTCTGGATTATTATTCTCCAAGCCCTGACTCTGTCCTCCTGCAGAGAAGACTCTGCTTCCTCCCCAAAGGTCCATGTCCCTCCCCACAAAAGTTTTTGACCCCACTTATAGGGTACTCCCCTACCCTCTGGTTCCCCAAAGAAACTCTGCAGGCCGCAGAGGGCAGGAGAGGAGGAGGCGCTGCAGGTAGCAAGCGCCGAGGACTTTAGTTATCAGCAGACTGGGCGCCTCCATGACGGGTCATGACCCCTAGGACCCCATCCTCTCTACCCGCCCTCTTCTTCCTCCCTCCCCCGCCGCGCGGCCCCTTTAAGCCCAGAGCCGGCGGGTCCTCAGTGGCTGCGCGCCGGCAAGCGTGTGTGTGAGTGCGCGGGGAGGGGGCGGGCGCAGTGTCTCCATGGCGACGCGGCGGTGACGTCGCCGGCCGGGGGGCGTGGGCGTCCCGGCCCCGGAGTGCGATATTAACCCGGGAGGCGGCGGCGGGGAGGGGAGAGGCTCAGAGAGGCGAGGCCGGGTGAGGCGGCGAGGGCGGCCCGACGGGCGCGGGACGGGACGGGGCAGCGCGGGAGCCGGAGCCACGGCCCGGAGTCGGGGTGCCTTGCCCCGGGCCCCCCAGCATGAAGACCCCGGCGGACACAGGTGGGGGCGGGGGCAGCACGTGTGGGGGAGACTTGTTGCCCCGGGAAACCAGGCAGAAAACTTTGGGGGGGCTAAAGGGGTCCGGGGGAGCCCCAGTGATTCCTAGTTCTGGGGGACCCCCAAGCACTCAAGACCTGTTGCTTCTTGCGGAGCGAAAGGGGGTGCTGCCTGGGACCCCCAATTTTGGGCTCCGGTCGGAGTGGTGTGGGTGTTGCGGATCCTAATCGTCTCCTCATGCCCGAACCTCACAAGCTGGGCTCTCCCCCACTCCTTGGATCACGGGGGTGGCGGGGTCCCTCCCTGCCGTTCTGTCACGTTGCACTCTGGGGGCCGGGACGTGTGCGGGGCGGGGGGAGGTTGGTCCACGGGGCCCGCTATCCCCGGTTCTGCGCTGCGCGGTCCGGCCCGTGACCTTCACAGCTGCGCGTGCCCCGCACCGGGTTAGTGGGGGACACGGATGGCCTCCAGGAGGGCGTGAGTGGGGAGCCCGGGACTCGGGGTCCGGGCTGCGCTGCCCCTCCCCCGCCCGTCTCCGCCGGCTCCTCGCTCCCCCGCCCGCACCGAGTCGCAAAGTTCCAAAGCGCAGCCCGAACGTTCGAAAAAGGAACTTTTTGTTTCCGACCTTAGAACGCGCTGCTTTAAGGTGGCTCGGGGGAAGACCTGGGTACCCTCCTCCCGCGCCGTCGGAGGCCCGGGGTTGAGAAGGGTGGGGAAGGCGGGGGGGGACGCAGACGCTCCCCCCTCTTTCTCCCTCCCGATCCAGCTCTTCTCTTTCAGCGGGCCGTCTTTCCCTCCGCCTCTCTTCCCCGCCAACTTGCTCCTCCTTAAGGGGCCTGGGTTCCCCTCCCCCCTTGGTCGGCGGGCGGGGGGCATCGGGATTAACCCCCCTCCCGCTCGGACTTTCCCCCCCTCCCTTCCCCCGCCGCCCCCGGGCTCGCGCGGGCTGGACTTTGCGCCCGGGTGCGCGGGGGGAGGGGTCCTAGCCGCCCCCTGCCCGTCTACCCTGTCGGAATCCGGCCCGGGGCGGGGACGGGGGAGGGGGAAGGGGGCCGGGCGCCGCTGTTCAAACTTGTTTCCTTTCCCCGGCGGCGGCCGCGGCTAGGACTCCAGTGTGCGGGTGTGTGCCCCGACCGGCCCACCCACCCCACCCCACCCCACCCCCCCCCCTGCTCGGCGGGTGGGGGCGGCTCTTAAAGGGCTCGGAGCAGGACTACGGCGCCAGGGGATTGGGGCCTGGGAGGGGGGCTGAGGGTGGGGCAGGGGTGCGGAGTGCTGTAGGGTCAGTCACGTGCGTCCCACTTACTCCCTGGCTCCCACAGGCTCCCGGGCCGCTGGGCCTTGGGGGCAGCGAGAGCCTCTCCTCACTCGGGGAGGGGACCGAGGCGCCCAAACAACTCCGCCTGCCTTTCCTCCCTACCAGGGGCCTTGATCCATTGGGACCTGCTGGGCAGCTTTACAACCCTGGTTAGGGTTCGAGTCGTGTGTGGGTTCTCTGCTTCGGGGAGTGGGAGCTGGTAAGAGGGCGCCTGGAATGGCCTCCGGATCAGTCGATCTTTACGTGTGCCGGCGGCTGTGAGCCCCTCCATCTGATTCTCCATCCCAGCCCCTCTCTTCTGCCGCGGCTGTTTCCCACTTCCTGTTTTCTTCCCGGCTCTGGCGCCATCGAGGGCTGCCTAGAGTGGGGGAGGTGGTGGGGCCCCCCTGGAGGCCGGCGGGCTCTTCCTCTACCATCACCCCTCCCTTCCGACCCCCATAGTCTCTTGAAAAAGTTTGGGCAGCCACATGAAGTTGGGGGGTGCCCAGGAATTCTGCCCCCACCCAGTCTTTTAGTCTGGGAGAATCCCTACCCTACCTCTGAGATCCAGGTGTGCTTTCTGGGACCTAGCCATCTCAGCCCTTCCTGTCTGCTGCCACCTTTACACCCGATCTGTGTTTCTTGAACCTCTCTTTGAGTGCAACTGCTTTCTCCATCTCCCTGCCTCACTGGTCCCCCATGCTCCAGAAGTACTGTACCCCCCAAGCTTTCGGTGCAGAGCTGGTGTTTCTCTGATTTAAGCACGTGGACCCACATACAGCATATACTCACACATGCTCCCCTTGCCCGTGCCTGGCTCCTGGCTCCAAGGCTTGGGGAACAGAGCCCCATTGAGACTCCCTGACGTCACCCCCTTTCATTCTGCCCCCCCAAAGCTGGGAACAGGCCCTCATGTATGCTGTGTCCGATGAGGAAAACTAGTGTTGGGGTGGGCCTGGGTGTGGGGAAGGGTCTCTGCCAGGAGTGGCAGCCAGGGTCTAGGCCCTGGGGGGTGTCTCTCAGGGAAGGAGGTTAACTAGGGGGCCTGGGACAGCTCTCAGAATGCGGCTTGAGGCCTTTCCAGAGCCCCCCCACCTCCTTTGCGAGTTCCCTTTGTGTTGCATGTAGTCTCTCTCACTCCCTCTCTTCTGCAAAGTTTATTTTTAGCCTCCTGCTCCCCCGCTCCCAGGACTGTCGCTGCACACACGTTGCCTGGTTACCGGGACATGGAGGCTGGGGCGGGTGGGCTGGGAAGGGTGGCTTTAATTTGGGGGGGGAGGGTAGAAGTCAATATACTCCTCTACCCTCAAACCCCCAAACGGATGTCTCAGGGGCTTCAGCCCCCCTCCTAGGTCTGGGAGCCAAATTGGGGCTGAAGTGGGAGCAGCATGGAGCTTGGTACCCTGAGAGGGCCAGGAGCTTTTTTGAGAAGGCTCTCAGGGTACTTTGCGTTTGTACCTTGGTGATTTGGTCACTTGGGTTCCCAAAAACCTCAGGGCACAGGGAGACCTTGGGACCTCTGCTGTCTAGCAGGATGAGGATAATGGGGTGAGCAACTGAATTCCCAAGAGAGGCATGGGGCTTTGGATGCTAGGGTCCTTGGGAGAGGTTTTCAGGGACTATCCCTGCTAAATGGAGCAGGGTTCCTGGTCCAGGACTCTGGGCCTGACCAGCTGGAGGTCATATTCCTGGAGCCCTGAGGGGCTGGTTTGAGACTAGGATTTCTGAATAGGGTAGGGACTAGGTAGGGAGTGCAGTACTGGCCATGATAGTCTATCAGGAGTTGGGCACTTGGGTCCCTGTGGGAGACAGTGAGCTTTGGATTTGAAGGGGGTGGTCCCAGTGTGAGCAGGTACTGTTGATCCCTGGTGTTCCCAAGAGGAAGGATCCTGGGTTGAATTCCAGACTGGGGTGGAGTGTTTGGGGAGGCTCAGTTTTGCCCAGAGGCCTGGTTGGTACCTGTTTGAGCTAGGGCCAAGAGAGGGAGACTGACCCCTTCAGACTTGCAGACCAGGTTTTGGAACCCCACCCATCTTTTTTTTTTTTTTTTTTGAGGAGGTCTTGCTGTGTTGCCTGGGCTGGTCACAAACTCCTGAGCTCAGTCTTCCCACTGCAGGCTCCCCACTAATGGGACAAAATGTGTGTACCACCACACCCATCTACCACCATCCATCTTTATCTACCCACCATCCACCTTGGCCTTCTCTTCACTAGTGGCACCAGGGCCTCTGCCCTGCCTTCCCCCTCCTTCTCTTCCTCCCTTTCCCTCCTCCCACCCCTCCATTACCGGCTGCCTAGTGCTGAATTATTGATGGTCCCTGATTACCCGGGGGTTTGGGAAATGACAACAACCGCAGCCCCCCCACTCCAGGCTGCCCACCCCCTCCAGGGACCAGCCAGCCCACCACCAACCTCTACCCAAGGTTAATGCTGGGGGCGGGCAGGCAGGTGGGCAGGGAAGAAGCTGAGGATGAGAAGGCAGAAGTGGGAAGAGGGTGACAACGCCACTGTGCTTGCTTGGTCTTTGCCCTGAACAGGGCCCTCTAGCCAGGTCTGGCCTGGATGCCTCTGGGTCTGGGGAGGGCAGTGCAACTTAGAGGGTCCAGGGCTTGGTGCGGGTTGGGGGGGGCTCTCAGACAGTCTGGGTTTCACTCTCCAGGGAAGACAGAAGCCTCTGTGTGTGCAAGTGCTGACCTCATCGTCAACCAGCCACCCCACCCCTCCTGGTCCTTTTAAGAAGAAAAAAAAATCCTCTGGGTCTTGAGGTGGGAGTAGGGGGTTCTTTTAGGTTTTGTTGGGGAAGATAGTGTATGTTCCTAAAGAGGGGACCAGAGGACCTCGGGGGGTGCAATTTGGCTTTGGATGGATATGGGGGTGGACTGGGGGACTGTGCCTCAACTGGACTGGCCACGTGTGCCCTTTCCTGCCCCTCCCCCACTGGCAGCTCTGCCCGCCGGCCTGGCTTGGTGCCTGGCCCCCTGGCACTGGCCCCGGGACCCGCCGCCGACGGTTTCCTGTTTCTCCCGGTGTCCCTGGAGCAGGCTCCAGCTTCCCCTCCCCCCAGCTCCTGTCTAGCCCCCTCAAACAGACACACAGTCTTCCTAACTCAGGTCTTCACTTGGCTGAGAGAAAAGGGATTTCCCTACCATGAGGGTGGGGTAGAAGGTGGATCCTGGGAAATGACCCAGATCCCAGACTTGGCATCCTGACCCCAGGCCGCTCCCTCCCTGCTTCCCATCCCCAGGGTTTGCCTTCCCGGATTGGGCCTACAAGCCGGAATCGTCCCCTGGCTCAAGGCAAATTCAGCTGTGGCACTTTATTCTGGAGCTGCTAAGGAAGGAGGAGTACCAGGGTGTCATTGCCTGGCAGGGTGACTATGGGGAGTTCGTCATCAAAGACCCCGACGAGGTAGCTCGGCTCTGGGGTGTTCGCAAGTGCAAGCCCCAGATGAACTATGACAAGCTGAGCCGGGCCCTGCGGTAAGGAGGGACTGTGGGCCCTGGAGCACATGTGGTCAGTTCCCACTGGTTAGGAAGCTCCTGACCCATGGGAACAGGTTTGGCACCTGGCTCTGCCAGATCCTAGCTGTGTGACCTTGGACAAGTCCTAGCACTTTTCTGAGTCCATTGGTAACAAAGGGGTTGGGGGAGAGAATGGCATCACCCACAAGGCCTCTAGTCTGGGCCCCATCTTCTGGGTACTTAGCTTCTTTAAATGGCTCATGTTTCTTGGTTACTGTACCTTTGTGAGCAGCACACAAGCATGCATCAAGGTATGGAGTCTAGAACTGAGTCCCAATAAGTACTGACTGATCAATGATATCATGGCCTCTCTACACCCACAGATATTATTATAATAAGCGCATTCTGCACAAGACCAAGGGGAAACGGTTCACTTACAAGTTCAACTTCAACAAACTGGTGCTGGTTAATTATCCTTTCATCGATGTGGGGTTGGCTGGTGAGTACCAGGGATGCATGGCCTTGGAGGGAAGAGAGGGTTTGTCTGTCCAGGCTAGGCCAGGGGCCTTGACACCAAGTATCCCCACTCTGTCAGGGGGTGCGGTGCCGCAGAGTGCCCCTCCAGTGCCATCGGGCGGCAGCCACTTCCGCTTCCCTCCCTCAACGCCCTCCGAGGTGCTCTCCCCCACCGAGGACCCCCGCTCACCACCGGCCTGCTCTTCGTCCTCCTCCTCACTCTTCTCAGCTGTGGTGGCCCGCCGTCTGGGCCGAGGCTCAGTCAGTGACTGTAGTGATGGCACATCAGAGCTGGAAGAACCACTGGGCGAGGACCCCCGGGCACGACCACCTGGCCCTCCAGAGCTGGGTGCTTTCCGAGGGCCCCCTCTGGCCCGCCTGCCCCATGACCCTGGCGTCTTCCGAGTCTACCCCCGGCCCCGGGGTGGCCCTGAGCCCCTCAGTCCCTTTCCTGTATCACCTCTGGCTGGGCCTGGCTCCCTGCTACCCCCTCAGCTCTCACCGGCTTTGCCCATGACACCCACTCACCTGGCCTACACACCCTCTCCCACCTTGAGCCCTATGTACCCCAGTGGTGGTGGCGGCCCCAGTGGCTCAGGTGGAGGCTCCCACTTTTCCTTTAGCCCTGAGGACATGAAACGGTACCTGCAGGCCCACACCCAAAGCGTCTACAACTACCACCTCAGCCCCCGCGCCTTTCTGCACTACCCTGGGCTGGTGGTGCCCCAGCCACAGCGTCCTGACAAGTGCCCACTGCCGCCCATGGCACCTGAGACCCCACCGGTCCCTTCCTCAGCCTCGTCATCCTCTTCCTCCTCCTCTTCCCCATTCAAGTTTAAGCTCCAGCCGCCCCCACTAGGACGCCGTCAGCGGGCAGCTGGGGAGAAGGCTTCAGGAGGTGCTGACCAGAGCAGTGGCAGCAGCACTGGCGGGCTGGCTGAGGGGCCGGGGACACTGGCCCCACCACCACCACCACCACAGATCAAGGTGGAACCCATCTCAGAAGGTGAATCAGAGGAGGTGGAGGTGACTGATATCAGCGATGAGGATGAGGAAGATGGGGAGGTGTTCAAGACGCCCCGTGCCCCACCCGCACCCCCCAAGCCCGAGCCTGGCGAGGCACCTGGGGCGGCCCAGTGCATGCCCCTCAAGCTGCGCTTTAAGCGGCGCTGGAGTGAAGACTGTCGCCTAGAGGGGGGTGGAGGCCCTGCTGGGGGCCTTGAGGATGAGGGTGAGGACAAGAAGGTGCGTGGGGATGGGCCTGGGGAGGCAGGGGGTCCCCTCACTCCAAGGCGGGTGAGTTCTGACCTCCAGCATGCAACAGCCCAGCTCTCACTGGAGCATCGAGATTCCTGAGGGCTGTGGGCAGGGGGCTGAGGTTCCCCCCACTCCCCATGCTTTTGCTGCCTTAACCCCCCCAAAGTCCTGGAGGTGAGGGCAGCTCTCTAGTCTCCTCCCTGCCTCCTCCCTCTCCCCTCCCCTCCCCACATTTTGTATAAAACTTTAATTTTTTTTTTTTTTAATGGTGGGGGTGGGTGGGTGCCCAGGGCTAGGGGCTGTCCTGTTTCTAAGTTCTGGGCAAAGTGGTGGTTGGGGGAGGGAGGGGGGCATTAAGGGGGCCACCTCCATTCTGGGGAATTTATATTTGAATTGAGGCTTTGGCCTTAAAACCCAGGAAATTTTTTATTACAATCGCTTAGGAAGTAAAGCCTTGTCTCCCTCCCTGTTCTCTGCCTCTTGTACCTCTCCCTCTCTGCCCCACGAGCACCCTCAGCCCCAACCCTGCCTTCCTTGCCCCTCCAGGGGCCGTGAGTGCCTGGGTTTTTCATATCCCACAAGGTTGCAACAGGGGAGGGAGGGACAATTTTTTGATGAACCAAAAATTCCATGGTGTGGGGGATTGGGGTGGAGGAGGGTGAGGGGTGCCGCCCATGGGCCACAAAACTACAAGTGCCTGCTCTCCCTCCCCACCCCAGCATAGGTCCAATCCCTTTACCCCCAGCTGCTCCTAGGACTGGCCCATGGGCAGGCGGGTGAGAGGATGGGAAGGGGGTACCCTGAAACCAAACTGGAAGCCCCCTCTGCCTCCCAGCTGGGGCCCCTGGGGTGGTGGGGGACTGGGTCAAGCCTTACTCTGTATTGGGAAGGAGGGCGGGGGAGGGAAGTAGGGGGCTGCTGGATAATGTATTCAAAACAATAAAACTTTGGACCTTTGCATGCGGTGATCTGTCCTAGGTGCTAGGTGCAGCCGCTGCAGGATGATGGTCTCTGCCTGATTGGGAAGGACAAGGCAAGGCTGGACCCTGGTAGTTCTATGGCCAGAGGGCCTAGTCCCTCTGAATGGGTCGAACCCAGGCTTGGGGAATGATTGCCTGACCTTGGGTGTCACAAACTCCAGAAATTGATGATTAAGGCCTATATTTGGTCCTGTTCTATGGGAATCTGCATGTCCTTGGAAACTCCTTACCTTCACCACCACCCTATTGACCTTGGTCCTTTTCCTAAAATGCTTTCCAACTTTGATTTCCTAGCCATATCCCCAGGTTCCCAGTGAAGGCCAAGAGCTCCTTTTTGCACTCTTTGTACACTCTGCCCACATCAGTGCCCATAAGGTGCTTTGGGTTAAGCTGGGAGTCCTTTGGAGACAAGGCCTGCAGTGTTTCTTAAAATGTAAACCTTGCAGGGTAACTGACTGTTGAGTTTTACCAGCCTAACACTCCTAGCCAAACTGCTTGACAAGGGTCTGGCTCATTAGTCAGCACTGATTAGCTTACTATGGACCATAGACCTAATTAGAACCTGCAGTGCTTTAGTTCATCATACAAGGAAGAGCAACTGGCTCAGTTAAATGACTTGCCTAGGACCTTAATTCTGAGCCATGTTCTTTTGACAACTCCTGAATTTTCCTCCCTAAAGCCAAGATTGTTGGATCTAAATCAGGGTCTCTGGGAATCACAGAATCTGAGAGATGAGCTCATAAAGCTAGGATCCCAGACTGGGGAGTTGAGTCAAGAGGAATTCAGGCTGGAATTGCCTGTAGAGACAAGCCCAACCTGGATAATGCAGGTGAATAGCCAAAGGGAAGGGGTTTCCCTAAGGTCACAGCTGCTAAGAGATGGAGTGGGAACTGAGGGTTAGGGTCTGTTGAACTGGCTTCACAGTGAAACCCCACCCTGCGCAACCTCAAGAGGGGACAGAACATTGGTAACTGCTACCCACTTGAGCTTAAACCTTGGCAGTCTAGGGTGTGTGGTCCCAGATGATGTTGCTGGTTGGCAGGAGAGGATCCAGGGCTGGGGTACTGGCAAGAAACAGAGGCTTCTATTCCGGCCTACGGGCAACTGCTCCCTCTCCTGGGTGATGTAAGTCACTCCCTAGGGTGGGGGCCGCTGGGCTATTTCTGGAAGTTGGGATGAGGCATATCTCCTGGCAACATAGATGCAGCTAAACTGGTGGTGCAATGATGGAGAAAGGTGGATGTCGTCACTGGAGGGAGGGTAGCAGGACCCTGGTTAACCTTAACCTGACCCCAGTGACTTCAAAACACTTTTAACCATATGATTCCTAAAGGCTCAGCTCCAGGACTACTTTCCAGGTCAGAATGTGGTCTCACCAAACTTGCTGCCCCGGCTGTATGGGATGGCACAGGTAGCATGAGGTTTTAAAATCTCCAGTGGCTCCCTCAATCTTTAAATGGTTTACCAAAATCCATTTGCAGGCCTGAAAGGTTCCTACAGAAGACTTCTTGGTCCAGCCCATACTCTTTGAGATCCTGGCTTTCAAGCAGAAAGCCCTTCACAGATCTCAGGGACACAGAGGAACCATGACATAAACCCCCTTTGCACCTATAGCCCCTTGGCACCTATATAGATCCCCAAAGCCCTTGATGTTTTTTAGTCATCTTTTGCCCCGTTAGAGATCTCAGTGATCAGTAATTTCTCAGTCTTCCACAGATCTTTCATAGAAAACCTAAATCCCCTCAGAATCTTCCACTGACTCCCAGTAGTTGTTCTCCATAGCCCATCAAAGAGCACCTCTTCACCACTACCGTCAGTCCCTCCACACATCACGGCCCCTTTTACACACTTACAACTCCCCTACCCCCCACCCCCGACCCAGCACCTCTCTTGAGAATGTTCGCATTCCCTACTGACATCCTATTAGATTTCCATCCATCGCCTTCAAACTCCTACGGACCCCAATCCTTTTGTGGCGGTTGCCCACGCGCGGCCCACTACGCATGTCCCACGGGTTCTGGCGGTTAAGTAACGTCGCTATCTTGCCATGCACCGCCGCCCTGCTAGGTCCTTTCTGCGATTCCCTAGGCCTTAGGGCTTAACTCAAAATTTAACTTTTTCGACTTGGAACTGCCATCAGAGGGCAGCAACCACCGTTTGGCTGGGCAACTACAGGTCCCAGAAACACCCACTTGGATCTGTGCTGATTCGCCTGCAGGCTTCGCAAAGGGAGCAGGAGAGTGTCCGTACTTTGCCTTCTGGATAACGTAGTCTGAAAAGGCTTTAGCGTTACCATCTGTCGCCATTCTGTGTCCTCTGGGAATTGCAGTCAGGAACAGACCTAGCGAACAGGACTTATTTTTAAGGCTTTAGAAAGGCCAAGACAGTATGAACCCAGGCTTGGATTAAAGTGAAGTTCAGAGACTCCATTTCCCACCATTCTCTAGGTGGGAGGGATGGAGAGCGCTTTCATTCTAGTTCCAAGCATTTCCGGGAGAGGGAAGGGTGAGGGGAAAGACACAAGAACTCTATTTCCCAGCGCCCTTTGGGGATGCTCTTCTTCCGGGTATTAATCAATAAATGGAGCGAGTGAACGAGCTCTCAAACCCAAAGCTACTTCTTTCAGCTGTCTTCCTTGGTTTGGGCTATCCAGAATCCTTTAATTTATTTTTTTTATTTATTTATTTTTTTAAATATTTATTTATTTATTTTAATTCTCGGCGGACACAACATCTTTGTTTGTATGTGGTGCTGAGGATCGAACCCGGGCCGCACGCATGCCAGGCGAGCGCGCTACCGCTTGAGCCACACCCCCAGCCCAGAATCCTTTAATTTAGGAAGCGCGAGAACGCAAAACAAAAACAAAGCCGAATGGGGGTTCAAGACAAGAGGTTCTGTCTTTTTAATGCTCGGCTCCGCTTCCACATTGCTAGAAAAAAGCTAGACTGTATCCGAAGACAAGTGCTCTGGAGAAAGAACTTTGTTTCCCAAGCCCTTCCTGGGGACGGGGAGGGGGTTTTTCCCTTCCTTATATGTGTGCACGTGGATCTAAAGAGGTGCTTGAACCTTTTTCCAGCAGTCACTGACCGACTTGGACTCATTCTGAGTACTTGGGGGCGAGGAAGAAAGCATAGGCACTTCCCGGTCTCCCTAGAGATCTGCCGTCCTTAACCTTTTACCCACACTATCCCGATGGTACCCAGTGGACTTCACTTCCCAGCAAGCCTCGGAATCTAGCCTCACAAAGAGGGAGGATCCGCTGTGGACAGTTCCCAGCAGGCTTCGGGCGCATGGTCGATCACGCCCCCTTCGTTCATGGGGAGGCTGCCTTGAACTCCATTACCCAGAAGGCACCGGGGTTTGCTGTAACAACTGCCCTGAAACCTTAGACTACATTTCACCGCCGATTACATTTCCCAGCAAGGAATGCGGCTCAGCGTACCTGGCATGGGGAGCGCGATGCCTACCCTGCTTCTGGCCTATCTGTGGAACTGCGATATCCTCTTGGGATTTGAGGACTACCTGGAACTCCATTTCCCGTAGTGCTTTGGAATTCGCTTTACACCTGCAATGCGGTGAGGGCGTGGTGACGACTCCATTTCCCAGCTTGCCTTACGGCCGGAGGTCTGCAGGTTTACCGACGCCGACTCGATTTCCCAGAGGGCACCTGGCTGCGCGAGACACGCAGCCAAAAGACTTTAAGTGAACGACTGGACTCCGTTTCCCGGCGTGCTTCAGGACTGCACAACTCAAAGCGGCTGCGACTACATTTCTGAGGTACTCCTCGAGGCTTCCTGTTGCCGCAGTGGAGGGAGTGCGCGGTTCTATTTCCTAAAAACTAGAGGGTCCGCCTTCGGCACAGCAGACTGACAGATTTTCCAGGATTTTATTTCCCGACGTGCTGCGCGACCCGTCACCCGCGCCGTGTACTCTGAGGCCTTTGCAGACTCCATTTCCCGGCGTGCCACGCGGGCTTCTGTGCCTGCCGAGGGCGGCGACGGCGGCGCGGTCGGCAGGCGGACTTCATCTCCCGGCGTGCCCCGCGGCGGGCGCTGGGCCGGAGCCGGAGCCCGAGCGGCGCGGCCTGGAAGAGGCCGGAGCCCCGGGGAGGCGGCGGCAGCGGCGGCGGCGGGGGCAGCCCGAGCCCCGCGACCTGGGCCTGCGCTCGGCGCCATGAGCGGCGGCGGGCCTTCGGGAGGAGGCCCTGGGGGCTCGGGCCGGGCGCGGACCAGCTCGTTCGCGGAGCCAGGCGGCGGAGGCGGTGGCGGTGGCGGTGGCCCCGGGGGCTCGGCCTCTGGCCCAGGCGGCACCGGCGGTGGGAAGGCGTCGGTCGGTGCCATGGGTGGGGGCGTGGGAGCCTCGAGCTCCGGGGGTGGCCCCAGCGGCAGCGGCGGAACAGGCAGCGGCGGCCCTGGTGGCCCCGGCGCGGGCACTAGCTTCCCGCCGCCCGGAGTGAAGCTGGGCCGTGAGTACTAGGGGACCCCGTGTGGGATGGTGATCTGTTTCCCTAGTTCTCTAAACATCGTTCGGGTTCTTTCACATGCCCACATAGGAGCTCGAGGTCACTGTGCTTCTCCAACCTGGGATTTGAATTCTCTCTCTCCCAGAGAAAGGGGTTTAGGGGTTGCCATCACTTACAGTTTAGGATCAGAATTACTAACACTCAGAGAAACAGGGGTCACAAGTTCTTATTCTTCTAGTAACAAGGTCTTGGATCCTTGAGCCTTAAAAACAGATCTGACGTTGCCATCCATTAGAGAACAGGATCAGAGGTCATAGTCACTTGCAAATGGGGATCTAGGATTTTGTCCCCTAAGAAAACAAGAATAAGATCACTATCAGCACCCCACCACCACCACCACCACAAAAAGGGGATCAGCATTTTCTCTTTCAGAGGATGGGGATTTGGACTGAATATCTCTTAGAATTAGGGATTTGTGGTTACTTGTCCCCAAAGAACAGGGCCAGGTTTAAAACAAGGCCTGACATTATTATCCACTGAAAATATATAGAGCTTTATGCCAGTGGTGGCAATTAATAGTTGTTACTTTTGCTTAGCAGTAAGGACAGATTGAGAATAAGCATACCTTTTAGACCAAATCTATTGTTAGTATTCCTTAAAAAAAAAATGGAATTAGGGTGGGTCACAACTCCCCATGAAATATGGATCTAAGATGATAACTGTAATCATTCCTGGAGTATGGTGTCATTAGTTCTGAAAAAAACAGCAAGGTATGGTTATCTCCTTCCAAGAGAATGTGCTACTGGCCCCTCAAAATGGATTTGGTTCATCAGTTTTCCATAGGAAAGGGGTAACTATCCCCTAGGAATGGTACCAAGTTGTGTTGCCATTAAGAAAACCGGAATTGGGAAGCAGAGCTTTCCTTCAGAGGCCTGAGGCCAGATTAGCCCCACTAAAGAGAGAGATCAGGTTCACCATTCTCACATTTGGTTCTACTCTGGATCACACAGATGAAGAGATCAGGTCATTGTCTGTTGTACTACAAAGTATTTGGCAGGGATATCTATCCCCCAAAGTGCCCTGCACTAGTGCCAGGAGAGTACATTCATTTTTGTCACCAAGAACCAGCTCCTCCAGGGAGGATTTAAAGCTCACTGTCCTCCAGGCTCTGAAAATGGTCAGGGCTTTCCCAAAGTAAGAGTACTTAAGGGTTTCTGCTCCCTTTAGTGGAAGATGTTAGGTCATGATTACAGGAGGGGCTGGAGGACAGTGGGCTCACAATAGTTGGATTCAACATCTGGGGATGTTAGTGTCTCCCAATACCATGATTTGCTGCTTCCTAGAAATAGAAATTAAAGGATGCCAACCCTTGAACAGCAGAGAGGTTTAGGTGTCATTGTCCTCTCACATGGGAGGAGACAGGATTTAGGGATCCTTGAAAGGAAAATGGGAAAGGTCAGTGGGCAGGTGGGGGAGGGCATCCTAGCAGCCACCTTTCCTCAGAGAGTAAAAAGGGACAAAGAAGCCCCAGTGAACTTTTTGCAGATTTCCTTCCCTCCCACAGCTCTCCGATTGAGTGGTACAAGAGGGGAAAGGTCTATGGATTGTGTGTCCCCTTTGTTCCCCAGGTGACAGCGGGAAGGTGACTACAGTGGTAGCCACTGTAGGCCAAGGCCCAGAGCGCTCCCAAGAGGTGGCTTACACAGACATCAAAGTGATTGGCAATGGCTCATTTGGGGTTGTGTACCAGGCACGGCTGGCAGATACAAGGGAACTGGTGGCCATAAAGAAGGTTCTTCAGGACAAGAGGTTCAAGGTAGCTTGGGGGGAATGGAGATGTGATTTGGGGACTGGGCATGACTGGTGAGAGTACCCAGCAACAGTGCTGGAGCCTGGAGTTTTGAGGGGGACTTGAACATGGACCAGAGGAGAAGGGGAAGGAAAGGAACAAGTTGTGTGGAAGATGGGAAACATGGATTCCAGGAGAGCAGATAGATGACATTTATTTAGTATAAGTGCTTGACAAGATTCTTTGAGGATTGATGCTATTATTCTTTTCTTTTCTTTGTTTTTTTTTTTTTTTTTTTTTTTTTTTTTTTGCAGTACTGGGGATAGAACCCATTCATTTATTTTTGACACCAGGGATTGAACCCAGTGGTACCTAACCACTGAGCTACATCCTCAGCCCTTTAATTTTTTTTAATTTTGAGACAGTATCTCCCTAAGTTGCTTAGGGCCTTGTGAAATTGCTGAGGCTGGCTTTGAACTTGTAATCCCACTGCCTCAGCCTCCTGGGTCACTGGGATTACGGATGTGCACGACCATGCCCAGCTAGAACTTTTTATTTTTTATTTTAAGAAATTATTTTTCTTCTTAATGTTTTTTTAGTTGTCAGTGGACCTTTATTTTATTTATTTATATGCGGTGCTGAGAATCAAACCCAGGGCCTCACACATGCTAGGCAAGCACTCTACCACTGAACCACAACCCCAGCCCTAGACCTTTTTATTTTGAGATAGGGTCTTGCTAAGTTGCTGGGGCTGGCCTCAAACTTGCTAGCCTCCTGCCTCAGTTTTCCAAGTAGCTGGGGTTATAGGCATGCACCACTGAACCTGGGTATTGTTATTCCCATTCTAAGTAAGCAGAAATGAAACTTGTAAGTGTCCGAGTCAAGAGTAGCATCTGATCAGACTCTCAAGCCCTTCACTTTAACCAGTTGATTATACTTCTTCCCAGAGGTGAAAGGAAACTATCAAGCTGATCCTGGTGGTTCTGAAGGTTGCCCTCTGCCCAGGTGTTTTGCAGTGCTGTGCTCACTAAACCACTTGTCTTGGTGTGGAACTTTGTGGCACCTGAGGAAAGAGTGCCCTTTTTCATGAATGCAGGAGCTAGCAGAGGCCCAGGACACTAGGAGGCAATGGAAGTAGAGGGATAATTGTTTGGATGACTGGCCTAGGCTAAGTCCGGATGGGAGATAACTGAGCCTCAATCAGGGCCTGGGTCTCAGCAATGAGAACTTTCTGGCAGGAGGAGCTCAAGGGTGTTAGACATAACTTAATTAGAATTGGGTTCCATAAGTGGGAGGGATCTAGGTGTAGGAAGCTCTGATGCCCCAGAGAGAAATAAAAGAATTGGGGGAAATACTGTGACTGGGCCTTTTGGGAAGAGGTTGAGATATGGATCAGAAGATGAGGATTAGATGTTTGGGTTCTGGGCCTCAGGATCCAAGCTAGCATTCAAGATCCCCAGTGCTTCCAAGGGGAAGCATTTGGGAGTGTGGGGACCAGGGTGACTGGATGACCACTGATCTATAGTTGCTTCTGCCATATGTGGTGTTGCCATGTGGCCACCTCATCTAATTTTTCAGGGAAGACTGAGAACTAGCTTTTTATAAGTGCAGGAGTTTGACATACATACATACATACATTTATTTATTTATTTATAGTGCTAAGGATGGAACTGAGGGCATTCTTGTACTTGCTAGGCAAGCACTCTACCACTGAGCTATATCTTTAGACCCTTAAGGACTTTTTTTTTGTACTGGGAATTGAACCCAGGGGTGCTTTACCACTGAGCTACACCCTAACCCTCTTTTATTTTTAGATAGGGTCTCACTAAGTTGCTTAGGGGCTTGCTAAATTGCTGAGACTGGCCTCGAACTAAGTAGTCTGGGATTAACCCACAGACTTTCAGTTTATGTGTGAGGGGAAGGGGTTGGGGATAAGGAATTAAAGGATGCCCTTTCCAAGGGGCCTTGAAACTTGATGTGACCCAGGGAGCAGCTTCCTGCTATGCTGGCAGGAGTGGGAGTAGAGCTTAGGTGATGATGGTATGAGGCAAGGGAGACAGGGGTTGGTTGTATTGAGATTCTCTCCCTTTGCCCCCAAGAACCGAGAGCTGCAGATTATGCGTAAACTGGACCACTGCAATATTGTGAGGCTGCGGTACTTTTTCTACTCCAGTGGGGAGAAGGTGAGACCTTGGGATGCTAGGGGTGAGTGTGTGGCCGTACTTTGACTCTATTGTCCTGCCTGCCTTTTTCATGAGGGCCAGTCCTTCCCTTGCTGTTCCCTATACACTTTGCCTTCTTCCTTCCTCACTCTTAACCTCACAGTGCCTCACGAAATCTCCTTTGCTCTGTACAGAAAGATGAGCTTTACCTAAATCTGGTGCTGGAATATGTGCCCGAGACAGTGTACCGGGTGGCTCGCCATTTCACCAAGGCCAAGTTGACCATCCCTATCATCTATGTCAAGGTAGGAAGACTGCAGGTTGCTTGGGCCTAGGCCCACAAAACCAGGGACTCTGGAGCTTCCTGGGGTTTTTTTTGTATTCCCTCATCTTCCAAGTTTATGTTGGTCTCTTGAGTCCCCATGTTCCCTACCTCTGTCCCCATATCTCCCCAGCTGGAGTTCACCAAACACAGGGGTGGGCCAAGGCAAGGGCTGACTGAATCAGGAAAGCAACCTGACCAGGGAGCTGAGGAGGCTACAAGGTGTAACGCACACTGGGAGCCCAGTAACACCAGTAGTATTGGGGTTAGTGGGGGCCAAGAATGTAGAGGGGGAGCCGCTGAGGTCAGAGTCTAAGCCTTTGGAGTCTGATCTGGGGGCAGCTAGAAAGGATTTAGGATTGTGATTGTAGGAAGTCTAGTGTCTACCACAGAGGCAGGCATGCATCTGTCTGTATCTTCTGTGGGATGATTTGCATGTGTGGCACTGTACCCTGAGTGTTTATGGATCCTCTGAATGAATTAATTAATGAACTAGTGAATGAGGGTTGATATGGAGAACAGGCTGCTACATTGTGAGGTGGGTAGATTCCTTTGCTAGTGGTCACTCAGGCCCAGCTGCTTCTCCCACTAGCTTTAAGCACTCTATACCTAGTTGAGCCAGTGTCAGTAGTACCCATGGTTGCTGCTATTGGACTTCACTTGGGAGGGCAATTTTCTGGTTGGGTGAAGTTTTGCTGATGCTGTCTGAATACTGGGCCCAGAAGTGAGCAACTCCAGAAGCACAGCTGACTGAGACCCTGGCCTTGCCCTTGAAGAGCTCTCTATTTGGTGGAGATGACGGACACTGTCCAGAAACAGTAAAACCAGCTGCTCCTATACTAGAGGGAGCACAGGGAATTCTGGAAACAGGCATGCCCTAGCCCAACATGGCTTGGGACTGAGAAGGGTCAAGGAGGACTTCTGGAAGGAGATCTGGTGCAGGGAGAAGCAGCAGCATCTGTGGTATCTCTGGGATAAAAGAGGAGGGGACTCAAAATGGTTACATGTGGTGAAGAAATTGAGCACTTAGTACACACCAGGTAGTGGCCTGGGTCTGGGGAAAGCAGAGTGATTGAAACTTAAAGGTCCGTGTTCTCTTGGCACTTAGGTTCTAGTCAGTGGGTAGAGAGAGGCAGGAAAATTGAGCTGGAGAGGGGGTTGGCTCGTGGGTGGTTTTGACTGTCGGATGGAGGAGGCTGAGCCCTTAGAGAACCAATGGTTTTTGGTGAGGGGGAAGCTGAGTGTATAGCTCCCCAGCCTACTTTATGACAAGGCCTTCTGATGTGTCTGTCTTACTCATCAGGCTTCTGCTAAGGGGTGCGATTACCTCAGTAGTTCTCAGAGTGTGGTCCAGGGACCAGCATCAGCACTAGAGGGCTTGTTGCAGATGCCCATCCTGAGGTCACAGAATCTAAATTCTAGGAGCATGGCCCAGCAGTTTGTTTTAACTAGTCTTTCATGTGATTGTGCTGCACACTACAGTTTGAAAACCAGAGGTTTCAAACATTAGTTTCCTGAGGCTGTTGATTGGCCAGCAGGGAGAATGGTGTGGAAGGGCTCTTCATGCTGAGACAGTGGGCCAGTGGTGTGCTATGTGGCGAAGAGCTGGGCTGGAGTTCAGCTGTCCTCTGTCTGCCCCAGGTATACATGTACCAGCTCTTCCGGAGCTTGGCCTACATCCACTCCCAGGGTGTGTGTCACCGTGACATCAAGCCCCAGAACCTGCTGGTGGACCCTGACACTGCTGTCCTCAAGCTCTGTGATTTTGGCAGGTGGGCCTGACCTTGGTGTGCTGGGTGGCTCAAAGGGTAAGAGGGGGCCTCATCCTTCAGCTTTTGTTTACTCTTGTCCATCTCTTCCCACAGTGCAAAGCAGTTGGTCCGGGGGGAGCCCAATGTTTCCTACATCTGTTCTCGCTACTATCGGGCCCCGGAGCTCATCTTTGGAGCCACTGATTATACCTCGTCCATCGGTTAGTTATAGGAGGGTGTGGCTGGGGAATGTGTCTTGTAAGTTTTGAGTTCTGTGTTCTGTTTGCCAGACTTGGTGATAAAAGCTTAACCTCTGTTCTTTTACCCAGTCCTCAATCTTAGTCCTCAATCAGTCCTCATACCTGACAAGCAATCTAAGGCTGGGAGGTGTGAGGCCACCTGCCTGCAGTTGCATTGCTGGGACTGGGCAAGGCTAGGATTTGAAAACTGACCCGACTCTAGAGTCCATCCCAGCTTTGGAACTTCCCAGTTAGCCCTCTGTTCTCAGCTGGAGGGGAGGGGCTGTCAGTGACCTTGGAGGAAACTGGCAGGCAAGGCTTTGCCATCTTTAGGGTGCAGCCTGCTCCCAGGGTCTCTGTGTCCTTCTCTGTTGGTGGGGATGGCAATGCCACCTACCAGGCATGAGAGGAAAGCTGAAATGAGGGAATGAGCATGAAGAAGTTTGAAAGAACATCAAAATATAGGAGGGACTATATGGTCCTCAGATGTGAACTGGGGTGGTAGGATCAAGGTACAGACCAGGGAAGGGTAAGAGGACCATATTGCAGCCCTTCCCACGAGGAACAGAGAGATGGGCGGTAAAAAAGGCAGTTCAGGGTTTAAGCCTTTTAAATTTAAGACCTTTTTATAGACTTAGGCTAGAGGCAGAGAAAGGGACCCTTCGGGTTACTGAGCCGAGGAAATGAGGACTGGAAGCACACCTAGACTGGAAAGTGCAGCTAAATTGGGTAGACCTGGAGAGTCAAGGTCAGGATTAAATGTTCCTAAGTTGTGTGACCTTGGGCCAGGTACTTCACTTCTTCTCTGACCTGAGAACGTGGAGCTCTTTGACACCTTGAAGTATGGCCGTGTTTGCAAGGGGATGGCCTTGGTGGCCCTGCCTGCCTAGCCTTGAATCTCCCCTATTCCCTTTCAGATGTGTGGTCAGCCGGCTGCGTACTGGCTGAGCTCCTTCTCGGCCAGCCCATATTCCCTGGGGACAGTGGGGTGGACCAGCTGGTGGAAATCATCAAGGTGAGGGCAGGGTCAGGGAGGGGTGGGGGTGGGGGGTAGGGATAAGGGGCCCTTGTCTCAGCTTTCTCCTTTTCCCTGCAGGTACTGGGAACACCAACCCGGGAACAAATCCGAGAGATGAACCCCAACTACACGGAGTTCAAGTTCCCCCAGATTAAAGCTCACCCCTGGACAAAGGTAGGGACTCAGGTAGCATGGCTGAAGGGGGGGTCCCCTTGGAGGCCAACTGGTCTGGTGACCTCGCTTCAGAATCATTGGGAGGATTTGAAGTTATCCAGGGAGTCAGTCAATAACTTTCATCAGATTTCAAAATTTATGGTATTTTAAAAGTTGAGGACCAACAGGTGAATTCAAGAGTCCCATTTTTATGGCAGGGAAACTGAGGCTCACAGCAGGTCTCATGGAGTCACAGGACCTGGGCTGGTTGCCCACTCAAAACAGATTTCCTCTTTGTGGTTGTGCCTCAGTTTTCATATTTGGAAGTTTGGGTCTGTGGGAGGCAGGTGGTTATATCTGCGATGTGCATGGTTCTCCGGTGCCTGGGGCACCTCTCACCCTCATGACTCCAAGACCCTACCCTCAGGTGTTCAAATCTCGGACACCACCCGAGGCCATCGCGCTCTGCTCAAGCCTGCTGGAGTACACGCCGTCCTCAAGGCTCTCCCCACTAGAGGCCTGCGCCCACAGCTTCTTTGATGAACTGCGATGTCTCGGAACCCAGCTCCCCAACAATCGCCCGCTTCCCCCCCTCTTCAACTTCAGTCCTGGTGGTGAGGGCACAGCTTGGGAACCTGTGGAGCTGGAGGGGCAGCCAGATATGTGGAGAAGAACTTTGTGTTGAAGACAGGAATGGGGCTCTATAGGGGGTATGAGGCAGGCTTTGGGCTTGGGAAGATGTCTCCCTAATTGAGTGAGAGCCATAGTTGCCTCAGTAGCACTCCACCATCTGTCTTTTGGTAGCTTTTTCCAGTTTTATGTTTAAAGAAATTTGTAGCTAAAAGTGTCCACAAACTGATTTCCTTGTTTGGTGCCCAGTCATAAACCTAACTGCGTTTCCAGAAGTCCTGCCCTTGCCTCCTCCCTGACTAGGTTTGTCAATTCCTGTCTTTAGAACTTTCCATCCAACCGTCTCTCAATGCCATTCTCATCCCTCCTCACTTGAGGTCCCCGTCGGGCACTACTACCCTCACCCCATCCTCACAAGGTAAGTTGGGAGGCCATCTGCTGAGGGCTAAAATAGCACTTGTGAGCCTGGGGGTGGGACAGGACTATACTCACAGTACTTGAGTGTCCTGCAGGTATTTTTAAGTTAGTGACTTTTTGATGGCATAGAAAGAGCATTTCACAACATGTCAACAACCCTATATAAAGAACTGTTACCTGCATTTGTTTTTAAATCCTCACTGGAGAACCAAAGAAATGCATTTGGTCTAAGCAAGCAAACAGTTATTGTTCATGTTTGAAAATGGGAAATTTTGGGTTAAAATCCAGGTTTCCTCTTTCCCCTGGAATAGAAAACCAGAAGCAGCAGTCCTGGACCTGCCTGTCCTCATAGCTGCATCCAGCTGCCCCTTCTTGTGGGGAGCCTAGCTCTCTGGTGTGAGGCACTCATTTATCCAGCTGGCCTCTTGGTATTTGAGTTTGCAACCGTGGACCCAAAGTGGCAGCTTTTAGCTTTTAATGTAGCATCTTACATTGAGTTCCTACTCTTGGGAGGGTGGTCCTCAAAGGCAAAGCCTAACTCCTTCCTTCCCCTTCCTTCAGCTTTAACTGAGACTCAGACCGGCCCAGACTGGCAGGCGCCTGATGCCACACCTACCCTCACTAACTCTTCCTGAGGGCCCCACCAACTACCCTTCCACGTCCATCTGGGAGCTCCAAGTGGGGCTGGGAAGGGGGGCCATAGCCCATCAAGCTCCTGCCCTGGCTGGGGATCTAGACTAGAGGGCAGAGGTAAATGAGTCCCTATCCCCACCTCTAGTCCCTCCCTCACCAGCCTCACCCCTGTGGTGGGCTTTTTAAGAGGATTTTAACTGGTAGCGGGGAGGGAAGAGAAGGAAGGACAGGGGGTTGGGGGCATGAGGACCTCCTACCCCCTTGGCCCCCTCCCCTATCCCCAAGCCTCCACCTCTTCCAAATCCCTCTCCCCTCCTGTGTCCCTTGTAAATAGAACCAGCCCAACCCATCTCCTCTTCCCTTCCCTGGCCCCTGGGTGTAAATAGATTGTTATAATTTTTTTCTTAAAGAAAAACGTCGATTCGCACCATCCAACTTGGCCCCGCCCCTTCCTACAGCTGTATCTCCCCTCCTGTCCTCTGCTCCCAAGGCCTTCTCCCTCTTCTCCCCACCCTGGAGGGCCAGGGGAGTAGAGAGAGCTCCTGATGTCTTAGTTTCCACAGTAAGGTTTGCCTGTGTACAGACCTCCGTTCAATAAATTATTGGCATGAAAACCTGCTTTCTGCCTGGCTACCTGTTTCTGCCAAGGTGAGGGGGGTACTTGGACAGCCATTTGAGATCAGGAGTATGCTGTGTCTAAGGCAGGGGATCGTTAGGAGGCCTGAGGCCTAAGTCCCTAGCTCAGGTACTCAACCTTCCTGCACCTTAGTGCTTCCCTCTGCACATGCTCCTGGGAGGAGCCTTGCCTGACTCAGCACAAATCATCTGCTTTTGCTGAGGGAGGGATTAGCATCCTCAGTGACCAGTCAAGAACTGGGGATCCCTCTCAAAGGTCAAGGCCACAGAACTCAAGTGGCAAAGTCAAGAATTAAATAAGTTTCAGCCCAAGCTGCTTGCTGCTTTAGGGGCTGGAGGGACACTGGATGATGAGTCACTCAAGACAAAACAGCCTGCCTGTAGACTCTTGGTGGCATGATTATGGACAGGGCCAGAACCCAAGCCCAAGGTTTTGTTTCCATGTTTTCAGCAGGGTATACCTAACTGTTCCACCTCTCGGGGATATTGGAAAATGATAACCCTGGGAAGGTTGGGGTGGAGAGCTTGGCTTTTCCTCTTTTAAAACATGCTGCGGCCAGATGGTGGGGGCCATGAGCAGAAGGAAATGTTATCTCCTTCACATCATGCCAAGTGATGAGTGTGGGCAGGAGGCTCCAGAAGGGGAAGGGGTCCTCTGCTGGAATCCACTTGTGAACAAAAGGAAAAGGTTTGGACATGTCCCAGGAGTGCCAGGATGGTTCCTGAGGGCTCTGGGCTCTCCAAGCAGTGTACACCTGCATCTTTATATTGCCCAGGACAGACCTTGTATCACCTGTGCTCAACACCATCCTGTTTGTAAATTGGATACACAGACCATTACATGATCAAAGGAGAGGCCTCAGCTTCCTGAGGACCCCTTCGTCCCCAGTGGCTGGCCATGAGGCCCTCACTCTCCTCCCTGACAGCCTCTGCCCAGCTCTGCCCCATCCTCTCCTTGCTAGACTATTGCCACCCTCCCACTCACCTCACTCTGATCCCAGGGAGACTTGACACCCTGTTATGACACCTTTTCCTCCACCATACATACCTCCCTGAACTACTGAGCCCAACTTCCAGGGCCTACTTAGGTATCCCTGTGGGACAACTGTGAGCCCCAGATGCATTTTCCTTCTTCCCAGCACCTTGGTCTACAGAGGCCTGGGGGAGCCTGCCCTATCGACCTGCCATACAACACCCCCATCTGCTTAGGGAGCAAAAGACTGTTACTCCAGTTTTTGTAAAACAGTGGAGATTCTTTTCTGCTCCCAATACTTTTTTTTTTTTTTTTTGGTACCAGGGATTGAACTCAGGAGTACTTGACCACTGAGCCACATCCCCAGCCCTATTTTGTATTTTATTTAGAGACAGGATCTTAGTGCCTTGCTGTTGATGAGGCTGGCTTTGAACCTCGTGTCCTCCTGTCTCAGCCTCCCAAGCCGCTGGAATTACAGGTGTGTACCATCACACCCAGCTGCTCCCAAAACTTGATCTTTCAAGGTCTCAAATCCCAACTGTTCTCTGTCACTAGATTATTTTTCCTCCAATTAGAATGAATCCACTGACCCTATGTCTTGCCCTTGTGGGAGTTTCACGTCTCAATCACTCAAAATGATACTGGTCATAAACTGCTTAAAGGAACTGCCTGGGCTCGAGTCTCACAATACTTCTCTCTAGATATGAGACCATGGGCAAGTCTCTGTCCTCAGTTTTCTTTATGTGTGTAACAAGGATGGGGTTGAGACACCTCTCAGGCCCACAGGGGTCATGGTACACATACAGTGCTAAGTGTGGCACCTACCATGGCCAGGCAGTCAAGTGTTCAGTTAATATAGTTGTGAATAATTGGACAGTTTCCAAATATACCAAGAACTCACCCTCCTCTTGTAGTGCCATCTGCCTGGAATGTTCCTGTTCCTCTTCTATTGACAGAGAGACTCCTACTTTTTCTTCAGGGACCACTTCCTCTAGAAGTCTCTCACTTTTGATCTACTCCCGTGGAGGTTCTCTACTCTGGGATATTACTGTCCCTGCACCTCCCAATGTTCCATCACACCCCAGGGAATTCTTAGGTCTGAAGTTGTCTCTGGCCCTCAGCACTGCCCAGGAGGAGCCATGGGAGGTAGGCCTTAGAAGACAAGCTGAATGAACCAATGAGACACACTTAGAGAGCACACTGTCTGTACTAATGTTCCTCCTAGCAGACCAAGCACGCCTCCAGAGGGGAGAGCCCAAGTCTGACTCATTGCTGGGTCCCCTGCATTACTCAATCTGAGCTGAGTACCCAGGTACCTACAGATTCCTTTCCACACTGTCAAAATTGAGACGAAGAAAGCCCAGAGAAGTCAAGTATCTTCCACCAGGCAGAGCCAAGACCTGGGTGCCCAAAGTCCAGGGAAGGCTAGGGCTAGGGGAACAAGCACAGAATTGGAAGAGAGTATACGAGTGCCCAGTACAGACCTGGCACACAGTTGGTGCTCAGTAAAGGTTACCTGATGTTGCTGGGCACCAGCATGATGCAGTGCAAAGAACCTTGGCAAACCCCATTTTGCAACATAGCAGGGTGACCTGGGACAGATCACATCACATCTTAGAGCTTCAGCTTCCCCTCAGGTAGAGGAAAGAAACCTGGCAGGACTGTTCTGAGGAGTTGGTGGGTAGAAGAGGCCAGGGTGGATCCTAGAACATGGCTGGGTGCCAGACTGGCTTGTCAGAGGGGTGGTTCTCTTCTCCCCAGAGATACCCATGCTCATTGTTGCAAGCAAACCCCTTTATTGCTGCATTCTGGCTGTGTCACACAAAGGCTGTGTCCAACTGTAATAGCCCACTTGCTTCACTGGCCCCCAGTGCAGCTTGGCACAGCTGCAGCGTGTCCTCAAGTGCCAGTGGCTGGGATGTCTCAATGATAGCAATGGTCTCCCCAAGCTCTGTGCACATGATAGTTTGCTGAGGCTCAGGGGCTGGGGGGAGGGTGGGAGATGGTGATCTGGGAGGCTGCAGTGACAAAGAACGGGCTCGGGCATGGACTCGCTGATGCAGCCGCAGGCCTGCCATGGCACGGAACCATCGGCCGCATGTTCCACAGTAGTAGGGGCTCTTATTGTACAGACCAGTGATGGGGAGACGAGGGGCACGAGCGAAGGCAACTGGCCGCAGGTGCAGCCGCCGGTGCTGCTGTAGGTTGGAGCTCTGTGTAAAGCGTTTGCCACAGTCCAGGCACTGGTAGGGACGCACACCAGTATGGGTTAGCTGATGGCGGCTAAGGTTGGCCAAAGAAGCAAATGTTTTGCCACACGAGTGGCACTGGAAAGGCCTCTCACCTGTGTGCGTCCTCAAGTGATTGCGCACGTGGACCAGCTTCTTAAAGCCCTTGCCACAAACCCCACAGCGGTGCCGCCTTTCAGGAGGCCCGTGTACTGCCCGCCGGTGGCGGGAGAGCCGGGAGGCTGAGGCAAAAGATTTGGAGCACTGTGGGCAGGGCAGCTGGGCAGGTGGGGCTGGGGCAGGGGGTGGGGGTGGGGGTGGAGGTATGGGCTCAGCTGGAGCTGGGGAGGCTGTTGCTGCAGTGGTGGGGGCTCCGCTTTTCCCAGCATGAGTGCGCCGGTGGTACAGGAACTTAGTCATGTTGCTGAATGTCTTGCCACAGCGACAGCGATGCAATGGATTGGCAGTGTGGGCCCGCCGGTGGGCCACCAATGTGAGCTCTGTGCCAAAGCCGCGGCCACAGTCCACACAGAGGTAGCGGGCTTCACCACGGTGCAGCCGCAGATGCTGCTCAAGTGAAGCTGCTTTCTTGAAGACCTTGGAGCAGGTTGTACACTCGTGTGTACCACCCACATGGGCCCGCCCGTGAGCCAGTAGCCGGTTTGCTGAGCTGAAGCTCCGCTGACACTGGCTGCAGTGGAAGGGGTAGGTGGCTGACGCTGGGTCACGAGATGCTCGCCGGTGTTGCCGGCGTGCCCCTGAGATACAGTGTTGGGGGCAATCTCCACAGCCCTGGGCTTGGCCAACTGTGGTCTTGTCACCTCCCATAGTATCATCAGCAACCTCTGTAGCTGCCTCCTCCTCATTCTCTGTCTCTTCATCATCATCATCTTCATCCTCCTCCTCTTCCTCCTCTTCCTCTAAGCCATTGCGCTCTTCTTTCTCCAGGGAGTCAAAGTGAGTACCCTGATGCTCCAAGAACTCCTCAGGAGTGGCACAGAGGGTAGAACACTCAGGACACTCATAGGGCTCCATCTTGACTTCAGGTGGCAGTGGGGGTGGAGGAAGTGGTGTTGGGGCATGTAAAGGAGATGGCTCTAGAGACTCAACTGCTGTAGCAGGAAGGTGCTGGGCCTTGCGATGAGCCACCCACAGTTCAGGTGAGGGGAAGAGTTCCTGGCAGTCCCCACACTGGTACTGGATCTGGCTTGCAGACTCCCGGAGATGGGCATCCTGGTGGGCTAGGAGCTCTCTGGGGGAAAGGATGAGCTGGTTGCATTCACCACACTGGAAAGGCCCCTCCTCAGAGCCTGGCATCAAATCTGACTCCAGGCTGGTGTCCTGTGTGGTCAGTGCCTCCTCTTCTGACACACTGGGCACATGTTGCTCTTGGTGTGAGAGGACTTCCTCCAGTGTGTTATAGAGGCTGCCACACTCAGAGCACATGAACTGGTGGTGCTGAAAGAAGAGGGATGAAGCAAGGGCCTCCCCAGATGTCATTTCATTCACTTCTGTTGCCATCTCAGCCATCTCCCCTGATATGGATGATGATATCTCCACTGCCCCTGATGACTGTGTTGGCATTTCAGCGACCTCAGCCACCACCTCTGCCATTGTGGAAAAGACAGTGCCTGGAGAAAGAGGGGCAGGAGCCAGTGACAGGCTGGAATTGAGGGGAGGGGAGATGTCTCAGGAATTCCCTTGCTCATCCCATTACTCACCAGCCTCTAATAATCAAGTCTTAATCCAGTGTTTATGCCTCAGTCTTTGGTGATTCTATG